ATGTGCCAGGTGCTGGTCTAGGTGCTAGGCACACAATAATGAACTCTCGTGGGGTGTACGTTCTAGCAGGATTTAATGTTAACTAGCATAAGATGTCAAACTTTCAAACACCGGTGTTTGAGTTTCTAAAAGTACATACTCAGTACCCTCCCAGGTGTTAACTGTGCGTGTGCGTGTGCACATAGGAAGGATACCAAGGGATAGACGCTGGAGATACTGTGTAACACCATTTATAATTACGTAAAAATACAAATCATGCTGTATAAATTTTTTTTTCTTAAGGATTCTATTTATTTATTGGACAAAGAGAAATCACAAGTAGGCAGAGAGGCAGGCAGAGAGGGGGAAGCAGGCTCCTTGCCAAGCGGAGAGCCCCATGTGGGGCTCGATCCCAGGATCCTGAGATCGTGACCTGAGCTGAAGGCAGAGGCTTAACCCACTGAGCCACCCAGGGGCCCCTGTATAAATATTATTAACATATAACTGAATAGTAACGTTATTAAAACATTTAGCAGGAATATAAACATGAACAGCTTCAGGGTAACGTTCCCTGGTGAGGGAGGGAATGAGAGAAAGAGAATGAGAGAGACAGGAGAATGGGATTTGGAAGCACATGTTTAGCTACATCTGTAATATTTTATTTCTCTGTAAGAAAAACCCTGAAGCAAATATGGCAAAATAATATACTTCCATGGAATATTTTTACATTTATCATTTCATCTCCTAAATCCAATTATGAACAAAGCTGCCATAAACAACTGTGTGCAAGTTTTTGAGTGGGTGTAAGTTTTCAGTTCATTTGGGAACCGAATACCAAGAAGCACAATGGCTAGCTCGTGTGGGAAGGGTCTGTTTATTTTTGGAAAGAACCAACTCTCTTCTCTTCCAAAGAGCCGGCGCCATTTTGCATTCCCACCAGTGGTGCATGAGAGTTCCTGTTGCTTCTCATCCTTGCCGGCATTTGGTGTTGGCCGTGTTCTGGATTTGGGTCGTTGCAGTAGGTACATCATGGTATCTTGTTTTAATTTGTTTTTGTGTGGTAATATATAACGTGGAGGATAGTTTCATAAGCTTTTTTTGCCATCTATGTGCCTTCTTTGGGAAGGTCCATCCAGATCTTTTGCCGGTGTTCAAAATCAGGTTGTTTGTTTTCTTATGGTTGAGTGTTAGAGTTCTTTGTATATGTTGGGTAGTAGTCCCTTATCAAATGTGTCTTATGCAGATATGTTCTCCCAGTCAGTAGTTTGTCTTCTCATCCTCTTGACATTGTCATTTGCAGACAGAAGTTTTTAATTTTAATGAAGTCTAGGTTACCAATTCCTTCTTTTCATGAATGGTGTCTTTAGTGTTGTATCTATAATGTCATTTCCATACCCAAGATCACCTAGGTGTTCTCCTATGTTAATTTGCTCTTCTCTTTCTAGTTTACTAATATGGAGGCTTAAATTATTGATTTTAGATATGTCTTTTTTCCTAATATATGTATTTAATATTATAAATTTTCTTCTAAGCACTGTGCTTTCACTGCAGCCCTTAGATTTGTGTAAGTCACATTTTCATTTTCATTTAGTTCAAAATATTTTAAAATTTCTCTGGAGATTTCCACTTGACCCATGTGTTATTTACAAGTGTGTTGTTTAATCTCCCAGTGTTTGGGGATTTTCCAGCGATCTGGTCTGTTATTTATTTCTAGCTTAATTCCATTGTGGTCTGAAAGCAGACATTGTATGATTTCTTTTCTTTTAAATTTGTTAAAGTGTATTTTATGAATATGGTCTATCTTAGTGAATGTTCTTTGTGAGCTTAAGAAGAATGTATTTGGCTGTTGTTGGAAGAATATCTATTAAAGCCCTTAGTGTATTACTTATAGGTTTTTTTTTTTTAATTTCTTGTCTGATAATTTGAACATTCCTTCTATATCTGACTCTGGTTCTGATGCTTGTTCAGTCTCTTCAAACTGTGTTTTGCCTTTTAGTATGCCTTATAATTAAAAATAAAATCCAAAGATGGTGTACGAGGTAAGAGGAACCACTATAAATAGGCCTTTAAAGATATAGTAATAAGCTGGGGTTGCAGTGGGAGGTGTGGGGAAACATTCCTTTGTCCTACGATTAGGTCTCAGTCTTTTATTTTTTTTAAGATTTATTTATTTATTTGAGAGAGAGAAAGAGGGGAGAACGAGCACTGAGGCGGATGGGCAGAAGGAGAGAGACATTGAGAAAGATAGTCTTAAGCAGACTCTGTGCTGAGCATGGGGTCTGACCAGGGCTCAATCTCATCACCCTGAGATCAATACCTGAGCCGAAACCAAGAGTCGGAAGCTTAATCAACAGTGCCACCCAGGTGCCCCTAGGTCTCAGTCCTTGGGTGAACCTGTGCCCCTGGACTGTGAACTTCAGGGGTACATCTGTCCCCACCCAGCCCTCAACTTAGGTGAGGAAGGACGGCTGAACGGGGCTGGAGTTGGTATTTCCCTTCCTTCCTGTGAAAGACTAAGGCAGCCTGGAGCCGAGTATCCCGCCTCACCCAGGTCGATCAGGCTCTGATAAAACCCTAATAGGTGAGTCTTGAGGAAATAGCTTCTCTTGAAGGCAAGCAGTGTCAATTAGGAGAATTTAGAATGTTCCTTTCTCCATCCCACCCGCTGGAAGCGCAAGGGGATTTTTCTTAGATGTTCACTGTGAGAACCTAGTGGAGTTCCTGGAGATAAAACTTCCAAAAATGTGGGGGCCCCCCATGACTGGGCCGCCAGGGGATTTCAGTCCCAGACTTGCCGAGCCTCTACCTCTTTGTCAATTACAGCTCTGGGTTCCTCCCTGCCCCCCCCCCCCCAACTGATTTCCCCAGAGGTTTCTGTCAAAAGGTTTCTGTTCTGGCAAATTGGGATTCTTTGTATCCTCCTCTCTGTTTCTCCAATGTCACTTTTCCGGTGAATCTAAGTGGAGTTGGGGATTTTTCCGTTTGTTCAGCTTTTTATTTGTTGGGAAGATTTGGCCCCTTCTAAATTCCTCAGTTATCAGATTGGAAACCAAAAGTCTCTTGGTCTTCTTGTCTTCGCCTGGTTTGGGTACCCCAGGAGAGCAGTAAATTCACAGAGTGAGTTAAGAAGTGTCCCTTCCTCTTCTGCTTTCTGGAAATGATGACATAAAATTGATGTTACTTCTTTAAATGTTGGAAGAATTCTCCAATGAAATCATCTGAGACTGAGGATGTCTTTTTCCGAAGCTTTTTGAATTACAAACTCAATTTCCTTAATGGTTATATGGCTACTCAAATGTCTATTTCTATCTTGGTTGAGTTTTCATAGTTTCGGGTATTGGAAGGAGTCCTCCATTTCTTTTAAGGGGCTGCATCTATGATTATCTGTGTTGTCTTTTTGTCTTTGTCAGTCTTGACAGAAGTTTCTCAATTTTATTGATGTTTTTAAAGAACCAATTTTCATTTGATCTCTATTGTTTTTCTGTTTGCAATTTCAATGATTTCTGCTCCTACCTTTTTTATTTCCTTCCTTCCGCTTGCTTTGGGCTTAGGTTTGGTCTTCTTTCTCTAGTTTCTTGGAGTAAGTACTTAGATTGTTAATTTAAGACATTTTCTCTTTTCTACCGTACGAATTTAGGGTTATAAATTCCCACCGTTCTGCATTAGCTGCACCCTACATATCTCGATGCTATATTTTAACTTTCTCTTAAGTTCTATGATTTTTACGTTTCCTTAGACATTTCTCTTTGACCCATGGGTCATTTAGAAGCATACCACATGATTTCCAAGTATTTGAAGATTTTCTTGTTGGCTTTCCACTCACTGAATTTTAATAATTGTCTCGGATATTATTTTATCTTCATGATAAAGATACGTTTTTATCTATTTGTTCAATTTTTTAATTTGTTCTATTTCTATATTACAAATGCTGAGAACAGGATGATATTATGTGCTCAAAAAATAATGATGAAGGAAGGATGGAAATATTTAACTTAAAAATCAATAAAGAAGACACTAATTGGAAAAAACATATGCACCCCATGTCCATCACAGCATTAGTTATGGTAGCCAAGCTGTGGAAACAACCTAAGTGTCCACTGATCAGCGAGTGGATAAAGATATATAAATATATGTACACACACACACGCACACACACACACACACACACTGGAATATTACTCAACCACAAAAAAGAATGAAACCTTGTCATTTGTGACAACATGGAGGGACCTAGTGGGTATTATGCTAAGTGAAATAAATAGGACAGAGAAAGACAAGTATTACATGATTTTACATATACGTGGACTCTAAAAAAAAAACAGAAAAATAAAAAAACAAATAGAAACAGTCTCTTAGATGAAGAGAACAAACTGACAGTAGCAAGAGGGGAAAGGGTTGGAGGGATGGACAAAATAGATGAAGGGGATTAAGAGGTACAGTCTTCCAGTTAGAAATAAGACACGGGGATATAACATACAGTATAGGGAATAGTGTAGATAATATGGTAACAATTTTGTACGGTGACAGATGGTAACTAGACTTATTCTGGTGACTATTCCATAATAGTATTTATACAATATAACATGAAGAGATATATACAATATAAAATATTGTATATTTATATTTATATAATATATTTATACAATATAAATATTTATACAATATAAGATATTTATATATACAATATAAAATACAATATTTATACAAATATTCCATTTGTATAAACAGCAAAACACTATGTTGGACACCTGAAACTAATGCAATGTTGTATGTCAATTACTCTTCAATTAAAGAAAAAACAATAAAGAGAAAACTAAAAGCTAGAAAGAGAGAGAGAATGGTATCAGAATATTGATGGTGACTCTCACTGGCGGGGGAAATATGGTTTTCTTTATTTTCTTTTTCTATCTTTCATAGTTTTCAAATTCCCTGCAGGGAACATGTACTACTTTTATAATCAGGTGGAAGAATTATCAAAGTGGGAGCTACTATTCTGATCATTTTCACTCCCTCCCCGGCAGGATATAGCAGAATTTGAATTGCTGAAAAAGCTGAAGATGAGAGGCAGGGCTAAAAAGATCCTCAGGAAGGTCCCAGAGCCGACCTGAGCCAGACTCCCTCGGGCACAGACGTAAGGACCCTGCCAGCCGTTGCTCTCGCTGGCTATTGAGATTCCTGCTACAATCCCTCCATCCTGTGCATGTCATGTGATGCGGGTCAATTTCACCCTTCTCCCTGCTCAGAGGCCCCTAGAGAGCTCTGAATTAATGTTCATTCCAGGAGATCTGGTTTGCCATTGGAAATAAAACATCCATCTGCCTAAATCCAGCCATAAAAACTCCTTTAACAATGTAACAATTGTTAAACAATTTACTTTGAGGAAGCACTGTTTGTGTTTGCTTTCAGGGCTCATAGTGTGCAAAAGAATTGGAGGGAGCTGAGAAGAGAAGCTACAGCTGCTACAACATTGGTTTTTGGTTCTTGGTTGTTTTTTTGTTGTTGTTGTTGTTTTTTAATGTAACCATCTTTTACACCTTTGGTCACAGTCTCTTCATGTGTTTTCAAGGCAATCTCTTTGGACAGGTGACTAGATGAGACACTGATGGTAACCTCAGCCGCTGAGGGTCACCATGCTCACTGCTCTTAGGTGTGAACAATTTCCGAAGATGATTAAATATGCTACTCTACGTTTGAAAATAATGCTGAGGACCTGGTTTAAAATTATAAAAACATGTTCATTCAACAGAGAGATTGCCCAGATCTGGAAATTTGTATTCATCCTTTCCTAGTTTTGAGGTGAAGTGGCTTGCTGGAAGGTTCAGGCATTTCCTGGGGGCCCAGGATCTGGCAAGTACGGAACCTGAGTCCCAGGGATGGCACAGAGCACTCAGGGGACACGTCACCCGCATTGGGAAGGGAGTGTAGCAACGGATGCCTTCTCCTGGGAATGGAGCCAAAGAAACCATCAAGATCTATAAGCCTCGCCTTAGTGATTTGTGAGGGTCTTAAAGAATAGCCAAGGATGTGAGAATCTGGAAAATAATGACATAACCGGTGGGGGAAGATGCAGAATCCACATCTCAGGAACAGTTCATATCAAACAAAACAGCTTCTGCCAAAACCGGCCAGATACAGAACACTGTAATATAAGCCAGTCTGCCCATTTCAAAATCATTTGAATTCTACAGTTCCTAGGCACCCGATTTGTTTATCCATTTAATTTTTATTGACATCTACTACTCAATTCAAGAAAAAAAAACCCACCATGAATTGCTCCTCCAATTGTGCGAAGCTGCCAAGATCTAGACAGCCAAGGTCATTAAATCTAGACGGTCCTTGCCGGTGTGCCCGTGTGCACACACACATGCACACACACGTGAGTTCCTTTGTGTGCAAGAGAGGGATCCCGGCTGAGGTGGTAGGAATGGGAGGTAAGACAAAATCTTTATCTCCAAAGTTTACAGGCTGGTTTGGGAGATAAGGTATCTAGACAACGGATAATGATAAGGACACAAGAGTGGATGGGTCGAGAGCAAAATGACAAGGTGTTTGTGTCGCTGTAGTCCACCAACTGAAACCCACCTGATTCCAGGATGAATGCCACATATCTCCTCCCGTTCTTCCCCAGATACACTCATTACCCTCTGTGCTCGCTCTCTGCCCGGTGACACGGCCTGCCTCCGTTAACAGGCTCCTTTCCCTCTGGCATCTGACCTGGTTGGGTGAGTGCGGGGAAGACAGGGTGAAGATGCAGGAGAAGGGCCTGGGATGGAGGAGACCGAGGCTGGAATATTTATTCCTCTGGCTTCCTTCTTGTGGGGTCACTCAGGCTGGCTACACCCCTAGCTGATGGGCCCAGCTCCTCTCAAAATGATCCTCTCCTCTTGATCGTCTCTTTCCAGATTCTCATAATGCCCTCTCCCCTCACCCATTCAGACCCAGGGGTGAAGACCCCCACAGTCAGATATTAGCCCCATAGCCTGTACTATCCCATTTGGTGTCCCTTATACCTTTTGTAAATAGTTCTCTCTCTCTCTCTATTTTTTTTAAGGACTTGTTAAATTATGCTACTTTGAGCATGCCATCTGTTTCCTGATAGACCCTGACTAATAGATCTTGCTTTGGAGAGCCAGCAGGAAATGATCATGCTTGGTCTAATTATAGGGTCAGCTGGTGAAAGAAGCAGAAAGCTTTAAAAAATGATTAACTCTTCATTAAGAAATGAATTATTAAATGGCTTTGCTTCTCCCACCCAAACTGGAAGATTCTGCTCTAAAGAATGAAAGGACGGGAGGCAAAGCACTGGCCTCTTTGCACCTCTGACGAGTACAAGGGGGGCACTGCAGAACCTTCATGGTACAAAGCCCTTTGCAAGTCCCCGGTCCACAGGAACTAACTAGGAACCGTGTCACCCCAAAGCGCTTCCCCAGTCCCCCTTCTCTGGCAAATTGACACCAGAATTCCAACCACTGTTTTCAACTTGAATCGGAGGACAGAAACCTCATTTCTGGGTGTCCAGGGAAAATTCTAGATCTTTCTTTCAAGTTCCCACATATCGCACAGAACTGTTTGGAATAGAGCTACCAGCTCTTTGCCACAACCCTACTGACTGGGAGTTCTTCTTTATCTGCCCTGGGATTCCAGTGGCAAATTCACTGGGCCTGTTTATTGGTTGTTTGGTTGACTGGTTGGCTGGCTGGTTGGTTTTGCCTGTGGGAAGCCAAAGAAGTCTTTGAAAAGGTTGGCTTCGAGAGAGTCCTGGGCTCCTTCTCTGTTCCCCACCCCCAGGGACCCCACTTCTTAGCTGCATCCCACTCTGAGAAAAGATTGGAAGAGGTGGGTCTCTGGTGTCCCAGCAATTCTCAAAGCATCTGGAAAGAGCAGACGATTGCAGCTGCTGGGGCTGGGCCCAGAGGGGCAGGCTTGCTTAGGCATGCAGGGGTATAAAGTTAGAGGAAGTATAGCCAGCAATTTGGAAAATTTAGGAGTTCTTGGGCTGTCACTGGGTTTTTCTGTTTGTCGTTGACTTGCATATGTATTCTTTCCAGAGCAGGTAGGAGACGGGGAGGATGAAGGGAGGGCATTTCTGGGCGCCAGGTCGGCACATCTGAGCAGCTGAAGACAGAGCGGAGGAGGAGGGCAGGGACTGTCTGGAAGTCCAAGGATCCTGTTTGCTCCTGAGTGCCAGAGGGTGCATGCCAGGGCCTGGAGCCCTACCCACCAGGAGCAGAGCACAGCCAGAGAGCCCGCATTAATAACTCCTTTGAAATAAAAACATGCTCTTCAGGGCAACAGAGACTGATTCAATAGGCAAATAGCAGAGGGCTCTCATTACAATCATAAAGAAAGGCGGGGCTGCTGACGAGTGTCAGTGTTCCAGAAAAGAAGAGGGGAGATAAGAAAGCAGGGAGGGCAGGACTCGGACAGCCTCATGCTATGGCTTGGACCCTGGGATGCACATGTTGGGGGCGAGAAGATGCTAGATTTTCTTCCAGAGATGATCAGAGAGATCGTAGGTTCTCCACGGAAGTTGGCCAGGAGCCTGGAGCAGCACACACACACACACACACACACACGATCGTGCACCATCACACAAGCTCACACACACACATGTTCACTCACCCACTCACATACACACACACAGAATCATGCACAGTCACACGAGCTCACACACACACATGCACACACACACACTCCTTCTGATGACCACATTCTCTCTTAGGTATGTCGATACTGTGAATCCAGTGAAAGGAGGTCTTTGCTCCACTGCTCAGATCTATCTTGTTTGTTTTACAGTTTAATTCTCACAAGATTGCTTTATTTCTCAGCATCCAGCTTCAGTGGGGGCCCCTCCTATGGCCCAGAATCCTTTCCATTTCCAAAGCTCCCAAGTGGTTCTGCATGGTTCCTTCCTTTGACATCCAAAACAGAGAGGAGTCTTAGATGGCCCAGGGTGTTGATGGCTACTTTAAAAAAAAAAAAAAAAAAAAACCTGCACTCTCAGCAGGAGGTCAGACAACTTCGCATCCAGTTTTCATTCATCTTGGGTGTAAGGGTTGCTGTTTGCTTTTTACATGGCAGAATCTCTCTTAGCCAAATTCTGTTTCACCAATGCAGTAGCTAACCTCTGCCTTCCATTCCTGCGTAAAGCCGCTGCCCACTGCACCCTGCGCCGGTGCTGCTAGCAAGCCTTCCGCTGGCGTTACTTTTCGCTTTTCAATTTACCTCCTCACCCCCTGTCGTAAAAACATCAGATAAGAAGGTTTCTGCTGTGCTGTGCTTGTTTTCAAAAACTGAAAATATTATCAAGCGGAGTCCAGTCCAGCCTTAGACAGAATATAAACACCCGGGAGGCCAGACATACCCAAGGCCACAGAGCTCCTCCCACACTATGTGCTGCAGGAGGTCCAGAGAAGGGGACTTGCCTGACCCTGCGTGTGTGCAGAAGGCTTCCTGGAGGAGGTAAGATATCCCACGAGCCCTTAAGCCTTTGTGATGGACTGAATACTGTCCTCTCCCAAAATCATGTTGAAATCCTAGCCCCTGGTCCCTTAGAATGGGACCCTACTTAGAAGCTGAGTTATTACAGATGTCCCTGGTCATGCTGGAGTAGAGTGGGCCCCTCGCCAATAGAGCGATGCCCTTACACAGCTGGCAAATCTGAAGACAGAGGCTCTCAGGAAAATGCCGTGTGACATGGGAACGAAGACCAGGGTGGTAAGTCTCTGAGCCAGGGAAAGCCGAAGACGCCAGCAAACCGGCCCAGAGCAGGTGACAGGCCTGCAACAGAGTGTCCCTCACAGCAAGAAGGAAGGAGGGACCGACCCTGCGAATGGCTTCATCTCTGACTTCTAGCTTCCAGAGCTGCGAGACCACGCACTTCCAGCGGGGAAGCCCCATAGTTCATGTTCTCTTCCCACGGCAGCCGGGCAAGCTAATACAGCCCGAAGGTCAGGTAGGAATCTATGATGTGCAGAGGAAGTAACCCGGCCAGCAGTCGTTTCAAATAATAAACCTGAGCAAGCCCCCACCCCATGCCCCGCCGCCCGCCCCGTTCCCCCTGTCCCTTGCTGGCCTGTTAAACATGATGTAGTGGTGTGGGGGGGGGGGGAGGGAAAGATCTCGGAGCCTGATGACATGTCCCTAGAAACCTCCAAAACTGAAAAGCAAAGGGAACAGTTACTGAAAAAACCAGAACAGAACATGCCGGGATTGTAGGACAACCACAGAGCTGTAACGTATGTGTCATGGGAGCCCCAGAGCGGAAGGGAGAGCTTCTGGGCTTCAATTCCTGTCCCTAGAATGGGTCGAGGTGGCCTCGAGGTGTGCCGTGGGGTTTCACCCCTAACAGGGACCTTTCCAGCTAGCCCCAGGTTGCTCTGCAGGGGGCTGTGGAGGCTGAGGGCTGTGGGAACAGGAGTCCCCCCCATCCCCCTCGCTGGTCCTCAGCCCGACCACCTGTCCCTGGGACTCCAGGTGCAGCGCCCACTGGGCTGGAGTGGCTAATGGGCTTTGTGTTCTTCCTACACACGTTGAGCTCTGCCAAGATACCCAGGCATATTAGAACAATCCAGCCCTCTCTTGTTACCCCAGTACCTCCCACCCCCATCTCACACATACACAAGACATATTTTTGAATGTTCTGATGGCAGTAAACTTGGCCCATTGCCCAAACCTCCAAGGGGAGGTCACAGGTAAAGCTCCCACCCAGCCACCAGCACCCAGGGGAGCCCCCTCCCATCCAAGGACACATGCGGGGGCAGCCACCCTGATAACAGTGTCTGGGGGGCAAACGGAGGTACCTGCTTCGCCAGCGTTCAGCTTTGTCCTCACTGCTGGACTGGGTTCCCCTGGGGGGACTCCAAGGCCCAGGTGTTGTGACACCTGAAGAAGAATCAGGTTAGGATCAGACCCCTGGTCAAGGAGCTGAGCACAGCCTTTTGACCTAGTGAGGATGGAGAGACCTAGAGTCAGGTGGCTGAGGTCCACCATGCAGTGGGAGTCACAGTCTGGATGGCCTCCGGCTTGCAGCCTGACGAACCCTCAAGTTTCCTAAACCCCTTGGTCTGTGCATGAGTCTTGGTTCTCTGGGCTCAGCCTGCAGAGGTAGGAGCAGGTGAGCACTCTCCAGGGGTAAGTGGCACTGGGGTAGATTCCTAAAGACAAGCTTACCAGAGCCTGGGAGGTCATGCCTGGCCAGCCAGGGGAGACACTGTGGTTAGAGCCAGCTGGGATGCAGTGGGCCAGCCATGTCCAAGCCTCCAGTTCTCCAGCTTGAAACTGGAGAGAACCTCCCCAGGGCTACCACCAAGAGAGTGGGCTAACAGGAGAAAGTGCTCACTACCAGTAGAGCACGTGCGCGTTGGTCTAGCAATGCCCGCCTCCTGCTCGGCACCGGGCATCTGTGTGCCTGAGTTCTGGGCTCAGAGGGACCTGTGCTCTGCTCTCGGCCCCAACAGTCACAAGCTTGGGCAAGTCTGTCCTTCTTTGAGCCTGTTTCCTCATCTGTACAATGGGCATAATGCCAGTGCCTACGCCACAGAACTGGCAGCCTTGCACCATTGTCTCTTTCCCCTTCCTGCCTCTCTTTGCCGGGCTGCTTTTTACTGAACAGACCTGGTAAGCCATGCACAGTGGGGGATGAGGACCAGTGTCCTTACAAAGATGCACTCCTAGCTGGACCCCATGTCCACACAGAGAGGGGCAGATAACACACCACAGAGCAGCCAGGCTTCTCTTCAACAGACGCAGCAAAACTCCCCAGATGCTGTCAAGTGTCAGGAGCCGGGGATACAGAAATGAGTAGGACACGGTACCCATCCTCAAAACATCCAGTAATGTCTGATAATTTCATTCCCATCACCCATTAACTGAGTGCTTCCTGGGGCTTTGCATGCCCCACTTCATGAGTGGTCTCCTCCCACCCCACCCAGGAAGTCCTCTTAGCCCCATTTTACAGGCTCTGAAAGATTCACATGGCCAGGATCTGAGTGGCCGCCACCCAGGGTCCGGAGTGCTCTAACCAGAGCCTGCCCACACCATCGCAGGAGTTTGGGAATGACTTTTCAGAGCTGTGCAGGTTGTGGTGAAGGAAGAACAGTATCAGAGCTGCTTCTCGAAGGACACAGAGAATCTCCAGCAGGCAAAGCCAAGGGGAAAGAAGTTCCTGGACCCAAAACTGCATATACAAATAGCATCTAGGTATGAAAGAGTACAGTTACCGGGTGTGTGTGTCATGTGTTTATTCTGGAATCTAAGAGACTTTCAAGGCAGTAGCACCTTTAGCTGTAAAGGGAGGTGGGGTGAGATCATAAGGAACTTTGAATAGCAAACTAAAAAGTGGAATTTGGGGGAGCAATAGGGAGCCATTGAAGGTTGCTAAGCAGGGGGAGAGAGCATCTAAAAGATCACAGGCCAAGAGAAGTGAGTCATGCTGTCAGCATCCTGAGTGATCAGGGAGTAGAGCATGGGTGGGGTGCCCTGAGTAGGTTCCTGGAGGTAGGGCGCTCTGTTGGTAAGGAGGATCCAACTAGGTCCAACACCCCGGGGAAGGCAGTAAGTTGAGGGAGAAAATTAAGCCATGAACAGAAAACATGAAACCTGAAGCATGTTAGATTCAGCCCAGATTTTCCCTGCACCCACTAAGTACAGGGAGCTGAAAGAGAAACAGCTAAGCAGCGTATGATTTATTGAGCTGAGTTCCTATCTCTCGGGCTCTCTACCTCTGACTTTCGCTCTATATTTAGATGTTCCAGAATTCTCCTCTCCCCAGGCATTCTCCACATACCCACCCTCACAAGAATGAGCCCGTTTCCTGCCCCACATCCACTGCCAACCCCCCTCAGCTGTCTGTCCCACCCCAAGGCTCAGGTTCCAACAGGAGTCTGAGGGACTCCAGGTGTCACCGCCCCCTCTTCTCCCTAGGTCTTGATTCCACAAAGAACCATCCAGAGCCCGGTGTTATTCTCCTACTGAAGAAAGGAAAAGCCTAAATTCTTTCTTTGGCTGGGTTTTTCACCATGACTGGTTTTCATTAACTTCTCAAGTGGAAAATAAATTCTACCCAGTGGAAAGTTGCCACTTATGTGCAGGGAGTCATTGTTCACTGAATATGTTTTATGGCAAATGACCCAAGCCCCCAGTCTGCCGGGGCTCGGGCCAGGGCCCTGAGGGAGTACGCTTTGGAAATCTTCGTGGCAGTCCTTGTTGGAGGAGCCAGTGGCTGGTCACCTCTTGTTAAACCTTCTGGGTTGAGGAAGTCTGAGAAACTTGGGCGTCTGCTGTGCACTGTCCGCCCAGTCTGCCCAGCTTGGACCCCCTCCTCAACCTCTTGCTTTCAGCCCAAGTCGTAGATGACCTGGCGGAAAAGCTTCTCAAAGCCGCCTCT